AAACAGACATGATTTATCTATAATTATAAAACTGTGTTAAGTGCTAGGAAAGAACGTAGTTCTTGGAGAGCCTGTAGCTTGAGCAGGTGGGTGAGAGGGTGTGGGTACCTGACCCAGTCTGGGAGGGTCACTGGGGAAGAATTCTCTGAGAATTGAAAGAGGAGGAGGAGTTAGTGAGGTGACAGGGGAGAGAGCGTTCCTGGCATCTGGGACAGCAGATGCAAAGGCTGGCGCTGGAGGGAGTGTGGTGCGTTTGTGGGACAGAGGGAAGGTGGGTGTGGCCGGAGTGCAGGGGAGGGCCGGGGAGAATTGTTTGCTGTTGGACTCCAGAGGAAGACAGAGACAGATAATGCAGGCCTTGCGGTCCATGGAAAGGCATTTGCAATTTACCTTGAAAGCAAAGTGGAGTCTAATCAAGGAACTGGATTATGTTTAAATCTACTCCTGAGAGAATTCAGGAAAAAAAATCTTTAAATATAGAAAACATTCAACACAATTATAGTCTTTGTTAAGACTATTATCTGATTCTTGCATAAACTATAAAGCCAGTTTCCTTGAGCATCCATTTAGAAACTCATTATTGCTTAATTAAATACTCATTCTATTAATTCTACTCAATGTTTTAACCCCATTACATAATTCAATAACAGAAAATTAAATAGATTAAAACGAAATAGTACCATTTTATATTTCTACAGCAATGCTCACTTTGTGATTTAAAAACAATAGATATTAATTTACCACACCAGAGCAGGAGGAATTATCAATTGTAACATTACTTCTTTTAATTGGAAAAAAATAGATAAAGTTTCCTTTCTGTCACGCCATGTGGCAGATCAAATACCAGACGCAAAACGTATTTTCACACAATCAGTGTGAGCGATTGGCTTGGGACATACTGAGGCTCGTTAGCTCTCTCCTCTAAATTCAGAACAGAGTCATTTCATTCTCCTTTCTTTGACAAGGTGGGTGAGTTCTGTGATGGACACTTAGGAAGAAATGGCCTGGACTTGCCACAAAGGTCATCCATCCCCAAGGGGAAGATGGATTTGCATTTTATTTCACACCAAGAATAAACACTCTTTCTCATAGAGCAAAGAGTTGGTGTTAGGTTAAAGTTAACCTGGAAGATGGAAATAATGAGCAGCAGGCTGGAAAGATACAGGTGGGGAAGAAGTGACAGTGAATGACTTGAAGGGACTGGACATATGTGAGCTTGCACGCTTGATGATTGGAGTCCAGGTTCATAAGCTGCAACTGTGAGGTTTCACGGAGAACTGATGTTGAGCTTGAAAAGCTGGGATGTGGTCATCTGGGCCCTGGCTTTGGAAAATTAAAAGATAAGTTCCCAGAAAGTTTTATGAACTTAAATTTCTATTTGTGAGGATAAAACGGTGAGGGAGAGAGACTCAGAAATTCAACTTGCAAACACTTTTACAGGTCTCTATTTACATAAAGGATACAGCTTATTGGAAAAATCTAATCCCTTGCTGATAGTCTAATGGGTAGAAATTGTGAT